CAAAAAAGAATGGTATTACAAATGAATTTAATAAATAGTGTTAAAAACAAAAAGAAGGAATAGTGTTATTAATAATAAAGAGAATAGTGTCGGAAATAGTTAAAGGAATTGTGTCGCAAATAGTTAATATATGAATATATGTGAATAAATATATTTTTTGTTTGTTTTTAATACTATTCATTAAACTCCTTAATGATATTATTTCTTTTTCTATTTTTGACACTATTCATTAAATTCATTTGCAACACCTCCCTTTTTTTGTTTTTGGTACTTTTCTTAAACTTCTTTGTTACATTTTTTTATTTTATTTTCGATGCTATTCATTAAATTCATTTGTAACATTCCTTATTCTGTTATTCTACGATCAATAATGCGACACTTCCTTTTTCACATTTTCGACAATCAAATTTGTAATAATGACACTATTCCGACACACAATTTTTTAAGATATATATTTTATTTGCTTTTCTAGTTTTTTTTAAATAGTCTGTTTTTATTGTTTGTTTTTTTCTGACTATTTATTTTCTTTAGTTTTCCTTAAAAATACAGACTACACCTTTTTTTATTTTAGGTTTATGTAGTAAAAATACAGACTACGTTATCATCAAAGACACATGAATATCGTTCAACATCTGCTACTATAGCTCCAGATAAAGACTTTAAAAAGAAACATGCCAAACTTTTATTTGAAGCCAAGGTTTTATATTATTTTTATCAGAAAATTAAAAGAGCATGTGCCTAATGCCAAATATATTTATAAGTATATAAGTTATATATAAATATATTTATATATATATATATATATATGCATAAATAAATATACATATATATATATATATATATATATATATATATATATATATATATATATATATATATATATATATATATGCATAAATAAATATACATATATATATATATATATATATATATATATATATATATATATATATATATATATATATATATATATATATATATATATATATATATATATGTATATATATATATAAACACACACACACACACACACACACATATATTTTTAAACATCTTCGCTTCCAACAAGGCTGCAAGCAACCACTAATTAGAGTTGGAAGATACTGGAAGATGAAGATTGTAGAGCAAAATAACGATTGACTGACTTAGAAGATTGAAGATTGCAAATTATATAAATCAGGAAAGCAAGATGAAGGAAGCGAATAGCAAAGAACTGATGTTTGAGGGAAAAAACTAGAGGAATAAGAGTTTTTGGAACACTTAGAAACAGTCGGAGAAAAAGAATGAGACTTAATTGAATGACGAATAACACAAGAATGAGTTTTAGTAGATGGCACAAGAGAGGCAGTGCTTGTTATAGTATTTGTAGAAAAGAGAAAGAATAGGTCCAACTATATTTACAATGCATTTTTGCACCTTGTTTATAAGAGAAAGAGCATCATTAGAAGATCTGCCCCAGATATAGCAACAGTATTCCATACAAGGCCGGATTTGAGATTGATAAAAAGATGCAACCTTAGCATTTGCTAATTTTGCAAAGGATTTTATAAATAGTTTCCAAGAAAGATTGGAAGTAAGAGTTAATCCTAGAAGATAAAGGGTAGATGACTTATCAAGTACATTACCGTTCATAAATATAGGAAGGTCTAAATTATTGTGATAACAATTAGCTGAAAAAAATTTAGTTTTATCTGAATTAAAGTTCACCAGCCACTGTGAGCCCCATGCTGTAGCAGAAGTGAGATCCTTTTCAAACTCAGATGCCTCCTCCAAGCAATCAGAGTGTTGGCTTCTTATCATGACAAGAATAAATAGTAGTATCATCAGCAAACAATGCCACCTTTGATGTGAGAATATCTCGAAGATTGTTATTGTAAATTAAAAAGAGTATAGGGCCAAGAATTGAACCTTGCTGAAGCCCTGAAGTTACAGGATATGAAGAAGAGTGTTGTCCATTGAGTACAACTTTTATACTATGATTGGAAAAAAAGGATTTAATAAATCAATAATCTTTAAGATGTTACTAAATACACCGTAAGAAGAAAGCTTATGGAGAAGACCTGCATGCCAAACTTTATCAAACGCTTTAGAAATGTCAAGAGCGATGGCCTTAACCTCTCCACCTTTATCTACTGCACAATAAAACCTATTGGTTCTTACTGTTAGCAAATAAGCTATAGAACAAGAAGATTGAAATCCATATTGATGATCAGAAAGAAAGTTATTAGAGTCAAGATGAGAAATTAAATTTTTTTTAATTAAAGATTCAAAAACATTGCTCATGATAGGAAGAAGACTAATGGGACGATAGTTAGACATATCAGATCGTTCTTCAGAAAAGGCACCGGCATCATCAGCATATAATATTTTGCTTATATTTATACTGTATGCTATAAAGGTAAAATAAGCAAAATAAGTAAGTATTCTTTCTTTTTCCATGGTGTTGCATTGATAAAGACTGATCAGAAATTTATATATACAAAAATATAAGTTCAGTGTTTTATAAGGTGTTAAATGTATATATAGTTTATACATGGAAAATATTTCTATAACAATAATAATTCTAATAATTAAGCACTGTAATTCTCTTTGGTCAAATAGTTAGACTGGTGGTTAGATTCAGCTGAGCAGTGGTTTTATTTAAAATTGGAATTTTTGAATTATGGTTTTATTTGGCAATGAAACATGGTCATCTTTTTCAAAAATGTGCTTAAACTCTTTTTCAGTTAGAAACCTTGAAATAATATGTTAAAGTAGTATGTTAATAAAAATACCAGCTGCAGTTAGAAATCAGCTTTTTTATCACCAGCTTGTTTATCACCAGCTTCTTTATCACCATCTGTGAAGCCATAATCTTAAGCTTTCTATAAAAACCTACCAAAATTTAACATTAATATTCGACTAAAAGATTAGTATACAATTAAATTTTATCTCAAATATATCATATTATTATATTACACACATGTCACAATATAAACACATGTATGGGAATAACGTATACTTGTTGTACATGTAACAGATGATCATGATCTCTATGATATGATGCATATCTATCATTTATCACATCAAAGAAGTAACATATGTATATTTTAAATTGACTTGTTTGCCTTTTAAATATATATTACCTCTTTTATATATATACATATATGTATATATATAGATATATATTCTTTTTTTTTTTTAACTCCCCAAGGCCGAAAAAGCCACTTCAGATGAGGAGGCTACTTATTTGTGGTTATAACCCTCTCTCAACTCTATCCGAAACACAAACCTTGACAAACAAGGCCTCTGTGCAAAGAAAAAAGTTGAGTGCGGTACAACCAGGGGCGTGGTGGGGATTGAAATCGGAACCTCTGGCTTATGAAGCGAGCGCTCTACCACTACACCACTACCGAGTGTGTGTATATATATATATATATATATATATATATAATATATATAATTGAATGAATATATATATTCATTCAATTAAATTAAAATTGAAACTTCAAAATTTAGTCCAAAAATCATAAGCTGGTTTTTTTATTAGATTTTTTTTACTAAATACAGCCATATAGAGTACAAGATAATTTCTTTAAAAAAACTTTCTTTACCAGGTGTAATAAGGTAAAATGTAGTGCCAAATAAAATGACTTCCAGGACTATGGTTTTTCTTATTGTACACAAAATGGCGGATTTGGAATTTTTTTGTCTATGAGATTTTACTACTTGACGAACATCTTAAAAGTGCTTCTCATCTCTATTTACATCTAGAAAGTTATAGTATACTTTCACACCATGTTCTGCTTCTTTACTTATTACCTGAAATTTCCCGATAACCACTTTCAAGTTTTGGTAGTTTTCTCTATTAATCTAATCATGCGCTGAAATATTAAGGAATTTATAAAGAGCTAAAATATCTGAATGAATCCGGCCCAGTTAGTTCATTTTAAGCAATACCATATTCTATTGTAGGAGGAAGATAGGGCTTGCTATATCCCTCAATGTTGAATCCAACTCATTTTGTTACAAATACCCAGTTTACCAACTGAATACCATGCGAGCATTTTCAACTATAGTTAAGTCATGCTGAACAAATTTTGCCAAGTTTTTCACTAAAATCATGTCATTCACTGGTGCGCTACCTGGTACAAGAAAAACAAGCCACCGCTGTCCATAAACTGAAACTGAACTCAACAAATGGTTTTTTCCATTTGTTGAGTTCAGTTTCAACTTCCAATTTTTTCATTTGGTTACTTGTAACAATTTCAGATTTTGGAAAATGTTCTTTGATCTGTCTAAACAGATGCACAATCTTCAGAGTATAAAGCATTTTACTCATCCTCCTTGTTTTGTAAAGGAGACCAAGATAAAGCATCTTCAAAGTCATTGGTTCAGATTGATTAGTTATTATGAGCAGACAAATTGTGTAAAAGATTTACAAAGTTTAGCAATCTTATCCTGACATTCTTCTTTAATAGGCATCATATGAGGGTGATAATATTTTGCTTGATCATCTTATAACAGTTGAGCGAAATGTTTCTAGAACTTAAAAAAGTAAAAAAGATATGCCAATAACGTTTTCTTCACACTTTCATTCTCTAAGATGTTTGTTAGTTGCCTTTTCTATGATGTCTCTAAGAACTTAACCAGTTTCTTTAGTTGATTTTGGATGTGAGAGAATGCCAAGGAGCTTTGTTTCATCAGCAATTCACCAGACATAAAAATTGGCATTTGGTCATCCGTTACTTTGGAATCAAGAATGTCTATAAGTTTTCCATCCCAATGCAACATCATTTTTAGCAACAGCAATTAATTTTCTTTAATCTTTACACTTATTTAGGGTACAATGTTGGTTTTATACCAGTGGGCTGTCCTTGCTTTTAGACATTGTAAGGCTCATCAGTGACAGATCTAGGAGGATCCAGGGATTAGGTATGCATCCCCCGCCACCACCACTAGAATTGGAAAGTCCTAAAATATCTTAGAAATTGAGGACCCTTTTTTTTTTTTTTAGGAGGCATAAATGTGGTACAAAAAAAATATATTTCAACATCCCTACCTATCCTCTCCACAAAAAAAATATTCACTGAGGCTCACCCCACATGCTGCTACAAGAGAGTACAACAAAGGCACTTAGTTGGGTCAATTGGATGTTTTTACAGACACTGCATGAAAGGAAAGTCAACGCTTTTCAAAATGTCATGAGGAGCAAAGATATCTATGCAACATTTAACTATTCATTTGTTTCCTATTCCTCTCTGTTGCTAACTTCTTCAATATTTTTATCCTCACAAGAGATACTTCCTGGTCAATAATTTATCGTTTTAAAAGTACATTTACTTGAGTTCATTTACTTGAGTTCATTATGCTTCAGATTATTCTTTCGTCTATTTTATTTTTTGTCTTCTCTGTGAATACCTTGTCCACCCCAAAATATATAGCTACTCTATTACACAACATTCTTTTCATAAACTTAATATCAATATCTTGTTAGTAAGTAAAAATAAGTTTCTTAATAAATATGTATTTCTCTAAAGAGTTGTTACAATTCAAGCTCATTTATAAATAGTAATAATCTAATTTGAAGTAAAAAACTATATTAATGACACTAATATGTAGTAATAGATAAAAATTATAATAATGATATAACTATATTAATACCTATTATATTATACAAAGTATAATTTATACAAAATTAAAGACATTTTTCTTTAATTAATGTATTTTTACTTAAAAAATTTTACTTTTACTTAAAAAAGTTTTATAAATAAAAATCCACATAAACTTTAAAGAAGACCAGGTGCAACCAGTGGCAGATCCAGGTCATTGTCCTAAGTGGGGAGTAATTTGACCAACAAAAAAAAAATCTGCTTTTTTTTCTTCAGATAAACCACTTTTTTATTTGATTATTTAGAATGTTTTTAGAAATGTTTGCTAATAAATATATTGAATGTATTTAGAATGTTTTTAGAATGTTTTTAGAAATGTTTGCTAATAAATATATTGAATGTATCTGTATACAAATACCTTGAAAAAAAATTGTTATTTCTTTTACAAATTTTTTTAATAATATTTTGAAGTTTGACATTTCTTAGGGGGGTGTTTACCCCTTACCCCTTTGTATCCGCCACATATATACATATATATATATATATATATATATATATATATATATATATATATATATATATATATATATATATATATATATATATATATATATATATATATATATATATATGTATATATATATATATATATATATATATATATATATATATATATATATATATATATATATATATATATATATATATATATATATATATATATATATGTATATATATTATATATATATATGTATATATATTATATATATATATATATATATATATATATATTATATATATATATATTTTTTTAGGAAATATATATATATATATATATATATATATATATATATATATATATATATATATATATATATATATATGTATATATATATATATATATATATATATATATATATATATATATATATATATATATGTATATATATTATATATATATATATATATATATATTATATATATATATATTTTTTTAGGAAAAGAACATTATATTTGAACCAACTCAATCTGTGTTTACACTTCCTCTAGCTGTGGCAATTGTTTTTCTTGTTTATAATTACGATTCGGTAAGCTTTATTACATAATATAAAAATTGTAAAACTTAATAATTTATTTTAAATATAAATTGCAATATTTTTTTCTTTGCAGGTTTTAATTTTTTTTATGACGGTTAACTCATTTATTCATTCCATCAATAAATCTGAAAATGAAGAATCGGAAAGTGATCGAGACGATGAATATGTTAAAAATACTGTCAGCAAAAAGAGCAAAAAGCAAAAGTAGACAAGTATCTTCAAAGTTTAAGTTCTTCAAAGTATCGTTTAAATATGCAATCAAACGACTTTGAAATGGCTCAACTCACATCAAATAGGAATTTTGAAATGCCAGATCATAAGAACATTTTGAACCAAAAAAAATTTACTTCAATTATCGGAAATGAAGTTAATAAGCAAGTAGTTGTTTTCTAATTTTTTTTTTTCATTTATTCATGCTTTTGAGTTGCTTTGTTTGTAAGAGTTCCCAGTATTTTTTTTCCCTCTAGAATACGCGGTGGGCGAAAGGGGTGGGCTCATAAGCATAGAAGCAAAAGCATAGAAGAATCAAAGATAACAGTTTAAATAAAATAAAGTTTTCAAACTTAAAAATATTAAAATCTAAAAAAACTATTAGGTGCGGTTTTCGGTGATTACCATTGTTTATTACAACTTAGGTAAAAAAGAAATTATAAAACAAAGCTGTAAATATTCTCATAGGATTTAAGAACATTAAAAATGGAATCAAAGACAGCGACACTGCAAACTTACAATTTACTTACAATTTTTATTGTTATTTAATCTTAATCATAATGGGTGGAAAAAATGTTTTTTCGTTTAAAGTATTAAAAAAAGGACTGGCAACTGGCAACTTTGACAACGAGCGCGTGGGGTTACTTAAAAGAAAAAAAAAATTTTAAAGAAAAGTCTGAAAAATATGTCTTCTTAACTAAAAAGGCTATTTTCATAAATATTGTTTAAAAATATTGCCTACTTTTGTTCATTAATACAGCCACATCTCCAATATTCTATTAGGCATATTCACATGCTTGGATGACTTTTTATACACATCTTTTAGAAGATGTAGCGAGATCAACTGGTCTTGCATCAAACTTGTTATATTCATTTATTCGTAAGGTTTTTGATAATTAGTTCAAAAATTGACAAGAATATTCAATTGCAATTTGCAAAATAGTAAAAAAAAAAAAAGATTTAGTAATATAAAGTTGTGAAAATAACTTGAATAAATGAGTTTTGGTTTTGTAGTAATTCATATATTTTCATGCACATTTAAAATTTGCATGTAAATATGTGAATTACTACAAAAAAAGAAATCTATAACAACTACATAATTTCTTGCTTAGGGGTCGTCCATAAAGTTCGTACGCTCCTCCGCATTTTGCAATACGCTTTTTTGAGTACCCTCTACCTCCCTAAAAATACATACGCTTTTAACCTATTTATCTAATATTTTATGATATTTTTTTAAATTTAGTGTCTCCTTCCTTTTATAATTGACCCACTGCCCTCCCATCTCATATACGCCATTTGCAGACCCCCTTTTTCCCTCTGTATGTACGAACTTTATGGACGATCCCTTATTCTTTAGCTCTTTGATTATGAAAGCATCAAAAAATCCACAGTTCCATTATTAGTTTTTAAATTAATAATTTTTTTTTAAATTTTTTTTATTAAAATGACTTAAAGATTACATGTTTAAATATTTTAGAATTATCAGCCAACTACCAGCATTAAGTTTGAATGGTTCCATTAGGTTCGCCTTTTTTTAAGATCTCTTACTACAGTTTTTACTTTCTTTGTATGGAGTAGAAAGAAAATAAGATGGTTTTGAAAAAAATAATGATGATAAAAAATAAATGCAACATTTTATGTATTTTGCCATAGTTATATTTTATATAAATTAGTTCAATTAAGCCGATTCAGTGTAATTTTACAAAACTTCATACAAATTAGTTCAATTAAACTGATTCAGTGTAATTTTACAAAACATTATATATATATTTTTTAATTTAATTCACCTCTTTAAAGCCGAGAAGGCCACTACAGACGAGGAGGCTACTTATTTGTGGTTATAGCCCTCTCTCAACTCTATAACTCCGAAACACGAACCTTGATGAACAAGGCCGCTGCGCGGAGAAACAAGTTGAGCGCGGTACTACCAGGGACGTGGTGGGGATCGAACTCGGAACCACTCGTTTATGAAGCGAGCGCTCTACCACTACACCACTACCGCATTAGATTCAATTAGTTCAATTACGCTGCTTTAGTTCAATTACGCTGATTCAGTGTAATTTTGCAAAATTTAACTATTTCAATTCTAATTCAGAAAATATATCCATTGAAAGAGCTCAAAATACAAAGTTTTTAGGTGTTCTAATTGATGAACACATCTCTTGGAAGCCCCACATCAACTATATAAATACAAAAATATCAAAGAACATAGGTCTACTTTATAAAGCAAGATCTTTCTTGACACAAAAAAGTCTAATACTCGTTTATTTTTCATTTATACATAGCTATCTTATGTATGCCAATATAGCATGGGGCAGTACCCACATAACTAAATTAAAACCGCTTTATCTGCGTCAAAAGCACGCTTCAAGACTAGTGTTCAACAAAAACAAACTTACTCATGCTCAACCCCTACTGGAGCAAATGAACGCTTTAAATATTTTTCAAATTAATATTTATCAAAATATACTTTTCATGTTTAAATATAAACTAAGTCTGGTTCCAGAACATTTTACAGCACACTTTTTTGAAAACAACGTAAACAAGTACAATACAAGAGCAACGGGAAACTTTAAGATACCCTTTGAAAAAACTAAACTCTCAAAGTTTTCAATAAAATATCGTGGTCCCTATTTATTTAACAAAATAATTTCTAGAAACGAATCGCTAATAAATTTAAACAACGAACAGTCCCTAAAAAGAAAGTTAAAATCTACAATAATCAAGTTAAACCACTACAAAGAGTTTTTTTAAACTCCAATTTAAAATTTAAAAATTTAAAATAATATAAAACAACCCTAATAAAACAAAAAATGTAACTTTTCAAAGAAATTAACAAAAATAATACTAAAAGGAGTTAGTAACATTAATAATTTTTAGGCATATATGTATCACATACATATTTGCCACGTATGCAACTGATTTTTATGTGTATTACACGTCTAAAAGGTACTCGATGACAAGACTGATCCCAGTCTTCTGCGAGCTTCCTATAACTACAAACAATTAATTATTTTCTTAATTCTTATACAAATCTTGTTTTTATCATACTTTTATATATATGTACATATATATATATATATATATATATATATATATATATATATATATATATATATATATATATATTATTCTGATTGAAAGAATATAAAAGGTTTATTTCTTGGATAATTTTTACGTTCACGTTATTCTATTGTGTACTTTGTATTTATTTTTATCAAGTCTCAAAGTTGAATGTAACAATATTTTAGATTTATCTCTTATTTATTTTGGACTTTATGTTTACGATATTTATATTTGTATATCTTTATTCCAATCGATGATTGGTCAATTGTAAATACTTCGTAGTTGTGAAATAAACATGTTTAAAAAAAAAAAAAAAAAAAAATTCTAATAATTACTTAAATATTTAATTTACTACAAAATTTAAATTATAACCTAAGGATAGGCCCACCGAATGTAAATTTATTGTTTTAGACCGCTTTAACTTTTTTAATGACGTAAAACAACTCTACAAGCCTCTCATTCACGTTTAAAAAGTCGTAATTTTTACAATTTTTGCAACAACTGGCATTAATGTCTTCAGTCAATGACCATCTTGGCTAAGCTAATACACAACCAATAGGACTCATATACAGTTTTATTGTGCATAAAAATAGAGAGTTAATTTTTCCATTATCAGGTGTTGTCAAAAATGTTTAAAACTTGTGAATAAAACTTTTAAAGTTAGCCTATGTTAATCAACTTTAACTATAGTTGTTGCTAAGCAGAACGACATTGTTCTTAACTGTGGTTTTTCGTAAACTTTCGTTGTTTTCTCGAGTGTGGTTTTACATAAACTTTTTGCCATTTTCTTGAGTGTGGTTTTACGTAAACTTTTGCCATTTTCTTGAGTGTGGTTTTACGTAAACTTTTATGTTAATATCTTTTAAAGCTAGGCTACGATCATTATTATGAGGACTTATATGTTATTTAATTGATTAAAAAAACGCCACTTAAAACGGACTTTTCTATCTGTAATTATAAGTTTATTTTATATTATTACATTTTTGCAATTTTTCCAAAATAAAAAGTTTGCTTCTTGCATGAATTTTATAACTTAAGTTAAGTTTAATTATTATTATTGTATATAAAAGGAAAAAATTAACTAAAATATTGCTCAATTGAAAGGATTTTTCATTTTACACTTATACTAGTACTTTTTTTTCTAAATGATGTAAACTAGTTTTACGTAATACATTCGGTTTTAAGTAATACATGCGATCAAATAAAATTTATTCTAAATTCAAAAAACTTAATGTAAATCTAACGTACTCATGTGTTCTATTGAAAAACATATTCTTACCTACTATGCATTGTAGATAAGAATCGGGTTTTCAATAAAAAGCCATATTTATTGGTACTGTAGCTATTTAGGCTGAGTTATGATGATGATATTTCCAAATTAGCATTTTTAGCAAATGTTCGGCCGAACATTTGTCAAGGTTAAGATTTTTTTTGTCAAAGATTTTTCGGCTGTTTTGCCGAACTGAACGTTCGGCAAAACAGCCGAACGTTCGGTTTTGCCGAACGTTCGGTGCATCCCTAGTATTTTATTTAGTTTTTTTTATATTATACTTATTTTGAGTTTAAATAATGAATTGAAACGCACTTGTTATATGTTACTGCCATATGGGACAAATGTGACCCATAGTTCTCTTGAGGACCGTTGGGACATATTTGTCCCATCTTATATTTCCACTTGTAATGGTAATGGAAAAATTTTCTTTAGTTTGTTATTTAAACTCATTGTAATGTTAGAAATGCATTACTTTTACTAAAATTATTTTTGTAATCCTTACGGTCCTAAAAGGGTTAAAAAGCTATAAAAATTGACCTGTTCTCTCGTCTACTTTTAATTGAATTTTTATTTTTTTATTTCTTTCAATTTTTCTTTCAATTATTACTCTACTGTATTAATGCTTAGTATTACTGTATAATGTTTTGTTTTAGGTTTTCTAGAGTTAAAATATAATTTTAATTTAAGTTTTCATGATTTGAAGTTTTTTTTTTTTTTTTTTTTTGTGCCTTAAAGTGGCACAGAACTGAAAAAAAGCAACTTTTTTGAAAAAAATCAATTTTTAGATTTTTGGGTATTTGGATTCTATAACCATTCCTTGAACATATAA